CAGTCGACAGGGTGAGTGTTATTTTCTGCGTTACGAAATGGGTATTTACTGAAATTGAAAATTTTATGGAGTCACTTAAATTTTTTGCCCCATGTAACCCTGAACCAAATCCAATTAACCCTTAACCAAAAAGTATCTGGAGAACATGAAAATCGAAGAGGTATTCACTGAAATTGCCAAATTCAAAATTTCAGTGAATACCTCCTCGATTTGCATATTCTCCCGATACTTTTTGATTAAGGGTTAATTGGATTTGGTTAAGGGTTACATGGGGCAAAAAATTTAAGTGACTCCATAAAATTTTCAATTTCAGTGAATACCCATTTCGTAACGCAGAAAATAACACACACCCTGTCGACTGGTCCTTTTGACAGCGGGACTGTTACTGAGACAGTTACCGAGTCGGCTGAGGGGCAGACACACCCATTGCGTGTGGCGCCCTCCCTCGCTTGGGGTGCAGTACTACGATGCCGCTGGGGTCACTCCAACCCCCAGAACTGAGCCTCTACTTTAGTCCTCTTTCGGTGCCTGTTTAAAAATTCGATTCAACGGGGAATCACCTAGCCACTGAACTACCGACGTCGGTGCAACACAAATTGACTCCCAAATTGAGAAATATTTTTAGCTAACAAGACGAAACTAAAATCAAACTACGATACATTCATTCGAGCAACAAAAAAAATTGAAAGAAAATAAAGAAAAGCACAAAATGGAAAAAATTAACAGAATATCAAAGTCATGCGGTTGGAGTAAATTCTATAAAAACAAGTCCATTATAGAGACGCATAATCTACGAATTTGCGATAATCAGCTAAATAAATTCACCAAAATGGACGGATGTATTAATAATTAGTTACCTGTCATTATGGACGCAGTAATGAATTGATTAGAAAATGCAGTTGGGAGCAAGAAATGCTGTATATGAGTGGTACAAGTGGATAAACGATCACAAAATAAATTAAATAAAACTAAAAATAAAACAAAATGCTTACAGTTTGCATACTTTGGTCGACCATGCTTGGGGGCTCCTGTTCATCACTCACCCTTTTTTGATTGTCGGGTAAGTTCAAGTAGCACTCGTTGTCAAAACGGAATTGGCTCTGTAATCACGAATGTACAATGAGTGCTTTAAACATTGCTTTCATTCAATAATTGCAGATTCATTTCTACAAAAAATCAATCCAATATGAATATGCCAAATCTTATTTGTAATCGTGAGGTCTTTTCGTGAGAAATTATAAATTAATGAGATACCTGCATAATTATCGATAATGTAAGACGGTACGTCTCGGAATAAATGCACAGTAAATGTATTTTATTGAATTGAAAAAATCATGAAATTTTTTATTTTGCTGACGATTTAATGCATTTTGTCAATGAATATTACATTCAAAATTCATGTACATTAACGCCTTCAATAACATATTTACTTTACTCTGCTCAACTTTTAGTTATTTGCATGAAATTATCGAGTCATTATTCACAATTTTCATCAAATGTCTCATTAAACTAGAAGTTTCAAATTACGAGATTCACATGAACAACAGTGGAACTGCCCTAGATGTATAACGTAATAGTTTGCATTTTTTAGTTTGAAATGAGTAGTAATTTAAATAATTTAATGATGGAAGTATGCTGTCGCCGGTTTTGTCGGTATAGTGATACCTCGAGGGAAAAATAAGCGAGTATTTATCAAACAAATTTTTGCAAACAACCGGGAGTGTCAAATTTTGCTCGTTAGAAAATCACGAGTGGAAGGAATTTTCCCATAAAATTTGAAACGATCAGTTGTTTGGGAAGAAGTTTGAGAGAAATACCATACTTATTTTAAAACACGAGTGGTATTTGTCAAAATGTTTTCGCGGATATCGGCCAGTCACAGTCCAGTACTTGAACCGGCAATGCAATTTTATCAAGTTGTCGCGGCAAAAAGACAAAACGAACATTCATTCCTTTCCCGTATTCGACTCATTCTTCAATCAATCTCCCAAAGACGGGGAATTGTCGACAAATAGTCTGACGGGAGTATCGATTATTGCTCATCGCAGCTTTCGAATCGCGCAGCAAAATAATAAAAGAGTGCAAAGTATCCGAAATAAAGCAGAAGCTAGTCTCTCATTTGCCATGAGAAACTGTACCTTGAATAGTCGAAAACCGTACGCGAAAAATAATAACAAAATTGTCAAGTAAATAAATGAAAAAAGGAATTGAATGGGAGGTATGTGACGGCAATAATCGATGATGTTTGTTGCAAATGATAATGATTACTTACTTTGTATCCCGGTCCGAGTCGGTGCATTGCGCAAATTTGATGAGTAGTGAGCGCTTCGCTGAACAGATATATTGCACTCATTTGACCGCAAAATACTCGCTCCTCGTCCAATTCCGGGGTTGCACCGATGTAGCATTTATCGAATGGCTGCAATTTTATATTTTTAATACAATCAAATCCAAATTGGATTGTCTCTTCATACAGCGGTCTGAATAATGAACTCACATCATTGGTGGAAACAAACCACGCCATCTCTGTACTCGATGCCAATTGTCCATTTACTAAACATTTTATTTCGCTTTTTGTCCATCTATTGTATATGTACACTATGGCGATCATGTACCACTGTAAATTATTGAAAAAAAAATGTTAACACCATTTGTAATAATAATAATAATAAATTGTTGAAAAGCTCGATAAAAAAGTAGGGGAAGAAGAATAGTCTGAATTCATTTCGAAAATATTCATCAAAACGGAGATTTATTAGAAAAATTTATAAAAATTGTCTTTTCCTGTAATTTGAAAAGTCTTTGGAAAAAAAAAATTTTAATACCTGATAAGTACTGAAATAATAAGATGAGATCGAAGATATGATTTGACTTTTATTTTGAGTTATTCAATTATCGTTGAGATAATTTAATTCATGCCAGAAATGGAAACTCTATATTTTTTTTTTCAATAATAAATTCCATTACTTTTCCATTGGAATTAATTCATTCCTTAAAATTTTAATAGAAGTCGTATAGGATAGATGGATGCAAAATGGACATCATCAAATTTTTTTGATTCTCTCTATTTTATAATTTTTTTAATTTCCATCATTTCTTTTGTTTACATCATGAAAAAAACCGAATTAAATTCCTATATGAATAATGGAGTACTATAGGATATAGACGTGGCTATATAGGTCGCCCATGGATAAATGAAAATTCAGCCGCCACGGTTTCAATTTTTCAATTGCAAAATATATGCAGAATTACCGAATCTAATAAATATTCAAATGAATTTGTAGGCTGGTCGTTTTGCCCCCAACCGCCCTACAAAATATTTTCATCGATAGAGTTTGTCACTTCTTGTGGTCATATTCCGAGCAATTCGAAAATGCTCAAGCATATTTTATCTAAGAAAAAATGATTTTTTTTCTTAGAGTGTCCGTTTTACCCTGCCCCCCCCCCCCTATATTCTTTTACTTGATATAAAAAATTATAGAAGTTTATCACTCAATTTTGAATAGACTATCTGCAGAAAAAAGATAATTATGTCTTGTATCAATTTATTACGTCGATTATTCCCATCACAAATTCGATGTATTCATCCTCTAGTTCTTTAATTTCGTAATCGCTACTCCTGCAGAGAAATAGAAGCCTTTGACATTTATGGTTATAAGGTATTTGAAATGTTACTAAAATTAATTTATTAATCACGTACATTTTCGTTAGTAGTATTTCAAAATGAAATTTTGGAAGAAGATATAAAACTTGACGGTAATTGTAACAAAAACCACTGGTTAATGATTTTTCTAGAAAGTATATATTTATGTTGAAAGTATTTTAATAATTTTCCCAAAATATTCAGTTTGTAATGCTCACTAATTTACCTTTCGTGGTTGAAATTCATATTTGACACAGTGCTGGAAGCCCTTGCCCTTAACTTTCATTGAAGTAAGTACCAAGCAATTACCAACGAAATGGGCCGAGTAACCGACTCCCTTGCTCGTTTTGAAACTAAAAATAAAACAAATAGGAATGAATCATTAAAATATCTCATGGCAAATTGTCTCTGGCCGTTGGAGCACAGGTATACATGAGTAATGATGCATCTTGAGATCATGGAAACCTCATTAACCCGACATCAAAAGAATACAAAACTGTCAATATGACATTGGAGATCTAAAATAAGCGTGCTGGCATGAAAAAGTCACTTACCAGTAGAGGTAGGGCTTTTCTCTTTCAATATTAACAGAGTTGATAGGATCGAGGCGGAACCAAGTTGTAAAGGTGAATCCACTTTCATAGGGCCACCTCGCCATTGGCGGCAGGACAATTGCCTGCAACATTAATGGATGACATTTTAATAAAAAAATTACAGTGTAAAATTAATAAAAAAAAATATTGCCCTCGTTTTCACATCTTTATATCACTCTCGACCAATCAATTTGAAACGGGTATCATCCAAACGAGTTGTTCGCTCCACGGATAAAAAAAGTGCAACAAAAATTACGTGAGAGTTGCGTCATTTTTATAGAACTCTTTCACCCCCTGTGTGTGAGAGAAAATTGCTAAACGTCGATAACATTATCAGGGAGGAATGATGCACTTTATATACGGAGAGAAAAATCTGACAAGAAATACCAGAAAAAGAAGGTAAATATGAGTTTTCCAACTGCATTCCGCGAGCGAAAAGAAGTTCAATAGAAGTGGAAGATGGGAAAGAAATTGTGTGAACTATCACGTGAATTCTACGATCTGTTCCCTACAAATTACCCTGATGTATTCTGATGACTCACCACTAAGGATGTGAGTGGAAAACCTGACCAGTCAGATGACGGCCATTTATCATGATAATAACAATTAATGGGAATTAGCCATTATGTAATCATCAGAAAACGGTTGACTGGGTCTAAGCTGACCGAATCGAATAATGAGGATTATTTCACATGACTATTGGGGTTCTTCGGTTTTTCGTGAGGTTTCCTCATGTCTCGTCTACGTTCTATAGGAGAGTGAATACGGTACAGTGTAGGATTCACAGCCGCATGAATATGGTGGGATAGGGCCAATTATCCAAAAAATGGAGGCAGAAAGGGCCGGAATATAAGAAAAAAAAATTGAGAAGTTTAACGGAACCGAACGCCCAAACAACACACCAGCTTCATAAGAATTATTGAACGTCCATGAATTGTTCATTTTTGAGGCATAACAAGTCGAAAAATTTCTGTGAGATTTTACTCGTTCGATGTTCCATGAATTTGAGAAATTACTGAACGTTTCAGATTTATTTTCTTCCATTACTATAAAATTACCGAAAAATGACCCCTCATCAGGAATTACGCCACTTTTCTCTAATTTTTACTGAATATTGTTCTCCATGTACGCGATAATATATTGTCATTGTTAATTTGATCGGTTTCACTTTTCAGTTTCAGTGTTCTGGGATCGCAATAAAAAAATTACATTCATCAGTGCTCAATCAATTCTTTTGAGAATATTTTTTTGCACTTCAGCGTGCAGTAACTGGTTGATTAGACGCGAAGCTCTCCGCGGTATTTGTAATTCGCTGGTTTCTGCACTCTGAAATATAGAATAACGTCCGCCGTTCTGGCGTAAATTTTGTTTTTCACGCGTATGTAAACTTCACTCGCGTACAAAACAAAATTGACCCCCTTAACGTGTCCTATACTATAAACTTATTTGATATTTTATATTAGTTGTTTTATTAAATCCCGAAGCCAAAGTTTTTGACTAAGTCCATACTTGACAATTTCCTAACAAGTTATGACTCCCTTCGTTCAAACTGATAACTTGTTACCCTCCATCAACTTCCGGTAATCCTCCTAGTGCTGGCGGCAGCGTCGGAGATTGTTAGCCAACCATAATTGGAACTTGATGTTGACTTATTTCACTTGTCAATCGTTTCTCGGAGTTTCAGGAAATATTCAAATTTGTGGGAAGGGAGAAGATTGCAGAATTATTTTGACGACTCGACGGAACTTTTCCCGTAATGAATGGAATGCCATATTGATTTACCGCAGAGTTTATATAGCTGAGAAGTGGAATAAAATACTTTTAATCAGCCATACACCCAGGAAAATAATTACATTTGCCGAGTGTACTTAGTAAATTCTTTTGTAGATTTACTTGTGACTAGTAGATTCAATTGGCGGATTCAACTTAATTTATAAGAATTTTATTATTATTTCATATTTTATTTAAAATAATTTTATTATTATTTTATATTTTATTTATAAGAATTTTATTTTCTGTCATCAAATATTTAATTGCAATTCTGATAATTAAAGTGGGTTGTGATTTTCTTAAGTTTCTCATTGCTATTTTTTTAGTTTCTTCCATCGATTCCTCCACGAAACGGCTTTATAATTTCTCGATGAGAGTTAAAATTCGAAACTATAAATATTACTCATGAAAAATATTATTGCGTTATAAACTCGGGTCATTGAACGGGACAGGTCATGTAATCTCGTCTCAGCATTTCTAAACTGAATTTAATAGAGGATTCACGATAAAATGCGAAAAGGTTTTTTCACTGAAAATATTCAGCTGTAAGATCTTCTGCCGCTTTATCCTGGAACCTCTCAATCTCAAGATGGTTAAAAAATTATGGAACATGCCATAAAATTCCCTCTTCAGTCGATTTCAACGAATAACACAGAAAAAAAAATCTTTCATACCTAAAGGAGCCTAAATGTCAAGAGTTGCAATTCCAAACTAATCGTAAAAATCTATTTTCCATAATTGGAAATCGTTATTGTCTCATCCGACTCGTCAGCTGCGCTCATGAGAATTCAAACAATTACTCGGTATACCGTGAGCAATTGAAGTGTCGACAGTTTAAGAGCTTCCCGGATTCCCTCCGCGAAATGATGTACGTTCCATAAGATAACAAGATCATTAAAAAAAACTCGATGCAGCTAGTTGATAAAAATTTTATCATCATTTTAAATTGAGTTTTCACGGGAAATACATCAAGTCTGACGTCGGTGCAATCAGCAAACCAGCAGATGGAATTGAACTCGAGAGGCAACACGAGTGGATTCCTTTCCTTCAACTCGGTACGATACTATTTTTTTTTTTACCTCAACAACTTTTCCCCTTGGGCTTTACAGGGAGAAGCTTAATGCCTATACCTGGTAGACTGTAAAGTTCCAACTTACCGATCCTTTTCTCCCAGGAAAACTGAAAAAAACATCGGGTCCATTTCGCTGTGGCATTTGACGAAGTACGTTCAACAGTTTCGCCGAGTGTCGTGGCTGTAAGTTTGTGAAAAAAGACGTTTTAAAGTTTGAAATATGGAATTTTGTATCGAGCTTGTTGATTTAAACCCAGCGGGGCAAATATCGTAGAAAAGTTTTCTTACCCATTTTCCCTTGACCGCCTTCATTGCCCCAAACAGAAGTTTTAATTCCTTGACTGTTATACTATAACTCGCTAGCACTCCAAGCATATCAATCAGCAGATCTACAGGATATTTCAAATTTCAATTAAAATATCACAATGAACATTACATTTCTGAATTGTGTGCTTTTTATTAAATTCGATCATCTTGCTATTCAACGGGATTCTCATTCTCATCGATGAAAAGAATTTTCCAAAACCGATGAATTTTTAAAACAGAGAAACTATTCTTTGTGCTTTTGTAAATTCATTGAATATCATTCATTGAATATCAAGATGATCTCAAATTGCGTATAAATCATTTAAAAAATCTCTTAACTTCAACATTTTGACATTCTGCATGAAACAAAACGAAAATTCACAAATTAAGAGTAACAGCTTTGGTTCAATAATTCTCATTTTTTCAATTAAAAGTGATGTATTACCTGCAACAACTGTTTCTGCTCTTGACAAACGATGCAGTACGTGCTCGATGAGACTCACATCGGTGCATGCCTGGAGGTTCCTCACACTTTTTCTCAGTATCGCGATGAAAACACTCCATATTTCAGCCTGAAACAAAGATCCCAACCGACCATTAAAAATCAGCAAACACAATTGCAATTGTTTATTCGAATAAAATTCTCAGAATTGATGAATTTCAATGGAAACGTCGCGGATTTAAGGATATTATTAGAGCCATATCATTCACTTCTTTATCCTGGAAATACGTGTCTTTCAACTTTATTTAAGAGAAACTTACCCTAAAATCAAGTGATCAATAACGTATAAATATTATAAAAATTGTAAAGATTTAGATTTAGGAATTCTAATGAGAAAAGATTCAATGAATGATTAGGATTAAAGCTCCTACAATTACATCGTGTAATGAGCAATCATCTTAATGCTAGATTGAATAAGAATTTTTTAAATTCTCATTTGCTTCATGGAATTGGGAATTAGCAGAATTCTTTAAGTATGAATTCCTTCAAAAAGGGATTTTTTCACTTTATCCAAAAGAAACTGTAGGCCGCTTATATATTTTAGATTATAAGCAATTATTGACGGTTATTATAAGATTGAATAGATGTTACAATTCGAATCTCATCTGAAAACT